TAGATGTCTTACGGCGGAGTCTCTATCGTCATCACCGGCGGCCATCTTGTCACAGGCGAGCTTTCTGGCGGGCTCTGTGGTGCCTGATGTAAGATGAGTGATCGGCACGAACACAAATACTCTTATCTTGGTGAAATCTTGACGGATTTACAAACGGTTTGGTTTCTTACAAACGTTATTAACGTGGCTATAATTCTGGATGATTATTTATTGATACACGTATTATTCATAAGTGTGCAGTGTCATAACTACATCTCTGACGTTTATAACAAACCAAACCGTTTGAAAATCGGTAGAAAATTGAGCAAGTTATGGTTATTTAAAAAGTACATGCACCATTAAAACACAATGTTACGAGTGAGCGAGCTGCCTGTGACAAGATGGCCGCCAGTGCGGACGTCGACCTCCATTGGCCAGCAGCGCGGACGACATCTAGCCTTTATTATGGATATCTATGGTATTCACTAGATGTCGCCTTGGCTACGGCAGTTCATTGGAACGAATGCGTCAATAGAGCCGCCATCATGGAACAGGGGAGCACCTCCTCTTTAATGCATCTGCGTCAATGTAGGCAAAGGTCTAACGGAGATAAAATAACCATAAATCGTCATGAATACAATTTTCTAGTTTTTTAGGTTCGTTCCAAAGGTCAGACATGTATTTATCATTGAGTCCAGAAAAAACTAAAAACATTTTTTTTTTAAAACAATCTTTTTCTAGTTCAGATTTCGTTCGTGTGAACATCCATACACAGCACAAAAGTCCGAAAATCCATGAATTCGAAGTACATTCATCATGGTGCGTGTGTGTGTGTGTGTTAGTGAGTGAGTGAGCGTGTGTGTGAGTGTCTGTGAGTGTATGAGTGAGTAAGTGTGTGTCTGTGTCTGTGTGTTAGTGAGTGTCTGTGACTGTATGAGTGAGTAAGTGTGTGTGTGTGTGTGAGTGTCTGTGAGTGTATGAGTGAGTAAGTGTGTGTGTCTGTGTGTGTGTGTGTGTGAGTGACTGTGTGAGTGACTGTGTGAGTGACTGTGTGAGTGACTGTGTGAGTGACTGTGTGAGTGACTGTGTGTGTGTCTGTGTGTTAGTAGTGTCTGTGACTGTACGAGTGAGTAAGTGTGTGTGTCTGTGTGTGTATGAGTGACTGTGTGTTAGTGTCTGTGACTGTATGAGTGAGTAAGTGTGTGTGTGAGTGGCTGTGTGTGTGTCTGTGTGTTAGTTAGTGTCTGTATGAGTGAGTAAGTGTGTGTGTGTGTGTGTGTGAGGAGTGTGTGTGCGTTAGTTGTACCTTGTTGCATTGAACGGAGGTGTGGAAGTGTGGCAAGCACAGGTTGAGCACCATGATGATGATCCTGCATCTACAGCAGAGAGAGAGTCTGAAACACCAGACACACACAGATCAACAACACTAGACACACACACACACACACTGCTTATGGTCCAAATGATTGGAATGAGCTACAAAAGTCATTTATCTCAATCTCTGCATTTAAAAAAGACTACTAGGGAGTGTTTTTATCACAGCTTGTCAATGTTTTAAATGAATGTATATGTGTGTTGTGAAATGTATGTATGACTTGCCTGGTTAAATAGTAAATACATAAAATAAAATCATCAATCATACTGGAACATCACAGGCACTTACAATAGAGTTACTGAAACTAAACCTTTAAGGGAAAAATACAACTGCAATGTACAGAAGAATGTATATTATATACACACTCTCTCAAACACTCACTCACAAAACACACACACACACACACACACACACACAGTAACTCACTAAGACTAACACGCTCTCTCTCTCACACACACACACACACACACACACACACACACACTCAAGACACAAAGCCACTCAAACACACATACTGCCATTCAAACACACGCACACACACACAGTCACTCAAACACACTAATTGACACTCACTCTCACACACACACACACACACACACACACACACACACACACAAAAGTCAATATTTTAGTGTGACACTACCGTGGTCGTGTATATATTTCATAGTAGCGATGACAATATTTATTTACTACGTGATTTGCGATATAGTGTGGTAAAGAATACGACGGCTTTATGTAAATAAAATTTGTATTAGCATTATGCACGTTCAAAAAGCTCAAAATAAACAACTAACTGCATAAATTCATTAATAACGTCGCATAAATTACCTTATTATGTTGTGTGTTTGTTACTGATCAAAAATGCCCAACGATCGTGCAAGACAGAAAGAGTTTAATAGATCGAGAAAACTATAAATAAAGCACATAACACTCTGAGATTCACACATTGATTTACACGGATGAAAACATGAAAACAAAACTCACTCGCAGGAGAAGAAACAGCAGCGGCGCTGACGTCACAGCTACTTCCGGGAGCAAAGAGGCGCGCGCGGCTCAGCGCTGCCCTCTGCTGGCGGGAAACGACTTTACAGTGACGAGCGCCAGGTGATTTATCTAGACATTCTCTGTTTATCTTCTTACATTGCATTATTACATATATCTTAAAAGAATGAATCAAGTGTTTAATGATTGGATTTAGTCATTTAAATTATTTACACACGATAAATTAAGTAGTTTCAAGTTATTTTCTCGCGCGCGTGCACTTGTTTGGACTGGAGAGGCGCGCGCGCGGATGACACAACACAAACATAATCTCGTAAAGTCATACCTGTATCCACAACATGTACAAGTATATTCATATTAATTCTGTTGTCGAATTCATAAGCGATCACCTTAAAGAGAAGAACGTGGCGTAAAGTCAAACATCATTCAGATTTCGGGGCTTTACAAAAGACGTTGACTTACAGATTTTATTTTAAAATATGGAATCAGAAATATATATTTTTTCACTTCAATGGAGTTATTTATTTATTTCCTGAAGCACCAAGCTTTATTTTATTCATATTTACGTCAGCATGTGACGATATTACTGGGTTATGACTGTTCCAGAACAAAAATATATAAACATACCTGTCAAACTGGGCAAAAAAAAAACATGTTTTTTATGGAAAATAATAAAACACGTAGGCTATCGTGTTTAATATCAAACGTCTAAAAAAAGACGATATGGATTGGTGTGTCTTTATCGTTTAATGTGTTTTTGATTGAGCATTATTACGCAAGTCATTACAGTAACATAAATACAAACAATAGAAGTATAAAAACATAGCATTTGTTCTCTGAATCAATTAATTACATCATCAAATCAAATAATTACATCAGAACTACATCGAAAGGAATATGGTTTTGGGAAATTGTTGATGCATTTGAACCACATGTTACAGAAAAACAAAGCTGAAATATCGGCTTTATTAATTCACAATAACCAGAACGATGAAATAACAGTAATTTTCATATTTTTTTCAAAATATTCACACGCAATATGTTGGTATACTGGAAATAACGATTTGACACATAAATAACCATCATATCCACAGCCAGCCTGTCTACCCACAACACTGAACATAGCAGCAGCTCTCAGAGAACCTTCCAGAAACATCAATGTAGAAGAAGTCAAAGCAAGTTGTAATTTTGCACCGAATAAAAAAAAAAAACTGAGACCAACAAATTTTTATTTTTTTCAAGTAATTCTATCCGCAGATAGGAGCCCTCTGTGTGTCGTCTAATGACCCCTGGCGTTAACTTCCAGATTCCTTCAAATACAGAATAATTAAGACTTCGTAAAGGTCTCTTCTGCTCACCAGGGCTGCATTTATTTGATCAAAAATACTGTAAAAATGTGAAATTTTTCACATTAAGTGTTTAAAAAAATTGTGTAAGTGTTTAAAAAAATTAAAATAAATCACTTTTATTCAGCAAAGACACATTAAATTGGTCAAAAGTGGCAGTATGACATCTATAATGTCACTTTTTTAAAATTATATTTCAAATGAATCATCAAAGAATCCTGAAAATTAAAATTGATCTCGTTTTCCACAAAAAAAAAAAAAAAAACATTGCTTATAATCATAAATGCATCAAATCCTCATATTAGAGTGATTTCTGAAGGATCATGTGACACTGAAGACTGGAGTAATGATGCTGAAAATTCAGGTTTAAAAAAAAAAATCATAATAATATTTCACTATTTTTACTGTGTTTTTGATCAGATAAATGCAGCATTGGTGAGTTTTCGAAAACATTTAAAAATCGTACTTTTTTCAAACTTTTGCCCGGTAGTTTATAGACCCCCTTTCATATCACTGATGACCAGCGAAGAGATGGAAACACGTCTCTTTTGATTCATAACTGCATTTGTTGTTCATTCACCGGTCCGCGGGTCTCTCTTTTGCACAGAGGTCGATTGTCTCTGATAAACTATAATAATATTTCACTATTCTTACTGTGTTGTTGATCAGATAAATGCAGCCTTGGTGAGTTTTCAAAAACATAAAAAAACTTTTGACCAACAGTTTATAGACCCCCTTTCAGTAAAGAGATGGAAAAATGTGTGCATCTTTTTTGATTCATAACTGCATTTGTCGTTCTTTCGCACAGACGTCGATTGTCTCAGTTCATGTCTAGATCTCTGTGGACTCGATGCGCTCCAGTCGGGACGGTCCGGGCCACGGAGGCGCCAGCTGATGCAGAGCCGGTGTCTTGGGATCGCCGGGAGAGAGAGCGCCGGTCACCGGGACGGGGATCGAGAGGGAATCGGACCCGAGCTGCCCGACCCGCTCCTCCAGCGCCTGGTTCCTCTGCAGCGTCTCCACGTAGCTGATCTGCAGCTGGGCCTGGTACTTCAGCACGCGCTCCTTCTCGTCCTGCCAGGTGTGTCTCTCCTGAGCGAAGGTGAGCGCTTGCCTCTCGCGCTGCTGGCGCTCCAGGTGCAGTTCTCCCGTCAGGCGCTCCAGCTGACGGCGTAGCTCCGCCTCCTGACGCTGCGCTTTAGCCTCGTCGCTCTGCAGGCTGAGGAACGAGTCCACCGTGGCGCTGAGGGGTTCGGGCGTCCGGGGCGAGTGAAGCCCGGCCCACGGTAAACTGACCGCGCTCCTGCAGCTTAGCTCGTTCAGGGCCCGTTTGAGACCCAGAACCTCGGCTTCGAACACCACCAGCTTGTCACGCAACATCGACACCTGCAGACACGGCAAAACACGAGTGGAATCAACATATGATCTAATACCGTTAAAAATATGAATTATTATTATAATTTCAAACTTATGTGAATACAGATGAAACTCGAAAAATTAGAATATCATGCAAAAGTTCATTCACTTAAAAGGTGAAACTAATATATTATATAGACTCATTACATGCAAAGTGAGATATTTGACGCCTTTATTTGTTATAATTTTGATGATTATGGCTTACAGCTTATGAAAACGTCTCAGGTTACTACTGTAACCATAGTTCCCTGAGAAAGGGAACGAGACGATGCGTCACTTGACGCTTTGGGAACGCCCCCAGCGTGAATGCGTCTGAGCATCAATGTCAACTAGTCCAATGGAAAGAATGAGCGTCACGGGCGGGTGACGTCATGACCAGGAAGGCATAAGAGCACATCCAGTGAAACGCGGCATTAGCTTCAAAAAGTCGAAGCAAGCCGATCACAGGGATGCAGGAAGTATGGCAGGGTGACGCATCGTCTCGTTCCCTTTCTCAGGGAACTATGGTTACAGTAGTAACCTGAGACGTTCCCTTTCGAGGGAACTCGCGATGCGTCACTTGACGCTTTGGGAACGAGAATACCCAAAACGCCAGAATTCCAAGTACCTGAGTGTCAGTCTGTTGGAACTAAGCACTAAGCACCTGAGAACCTGGGGCAGCATCCAGGTCCAAACTGTAAAACCTGACGAATGTGAGCGGTGAGGACCAGCCTGCCGCATCACAAACGTCTTGGAGAGAAACCCCAAATAACAAGGCTTTAGAGGCCGCCATACCCCTCGTTGAGTGAGCTCTGACCACCAAGGGACACGGATGGTCAGAGTACTCGTATGCAAGTGAAATAGCCTCGACTATCCACTTACTAACCGTCTGTTTAGAAGCAGGAAGACCCTTCTTAGGTGATCCAAAGCAAATAAATAACTGGTCGGACTTCCTCATAGAAGATGTCCAAAGAACATAAGTATCCAGTGCTCGCACTGGACACAAGAGGTTCAGCCTTTCCTGGTCCGCAGATGTAAAAGGAGGAGGACAGAAAGCCTGCAGCACAATAGGCCTCGGAATCAAGGTCGGCACCTTAGGGACGTATCCCTGTTTTGGATATAAGAATGCCTTGACCATCCCCGGTGCAAACTCAAGGCAGGTGGGGGAAACCGAAAGGGCCTGAAGGTCTCCAACTCTCTTAAGGGAAGAAATAGCTAGCAGAAAGATAGTCTTGAGGGTAAGAAATTTCTCTGAAACCGAATCTAAGGGCTCGAACGGAGCCCTAGACAGGCCTTCTAGTACTATAGCAAGATCCCAAGCTGGCACCTTAGTGCGAGTTGCAGGCCTCAGCCTCAATGTGCCACGAAGGAAACGTGTAATCAGGGGGTCTCGACCCAACGATGTACCCCCCACCAGGGCGTGGTAAGCCGCAATGGCCGCCACGTAGACCTTGAGCGTGGAAGGACATAGACCTGACGTAAAGCGCTCCTGCAGGAACTCGAGTACTGTGTTCACAGAACAGTTAACTGGATCCCACTGATGTCGGTGACACCACACAGAAAAAACTCTCCATTTAAGCGCATAAAGTTTCCTAGTAGCTGGAGCTCTGGAGCTTAGGATGGTCTCAGCAGCCTCAGCTGAGAGACCACACTCTATGAGTTGGGCCCCCTCAGAGGCCAAACCCACAGGTTCCAAATCTCTGGTCGAGGGTGAAATATTGTGCCCCCGGCCTGAGACAGAAGGTCTCTAATGATCGGGATCTCCAAGGGAGGACCGTCTAAGAGATGGATCAGGTCCGCAAACCAGATCCGACTCGGCCAGCGTGGTGCTACAAGCAGTAGGCTTATTCCGTACTGGCGGACTCGCTCCAGAACTCCTGGGAGCAGAGCAACAGGGGGAAATGCGTACAGACGTAGCCTCGGCCACGTCTGCACCATAGCATCCAGCCCCAGGGGGGCTGGGTGAGTAAGGGAGAACCAAAGTGGACAGTGCGTCGTATGCTGAGACGCAAACAGATCCACCTCTGCTTGGCCGTAAACCTCCCAAATTTTCTCCACCGCCTCGGGGTGGAGTCTCCAGTCCCCTGGCCTCAGCTCCTGCCTCGACAGGATGTCTGCCCCCATATTCTGGTCCCCAGGAATATACACTGCCCTCAGGGAGAGTACCTTCCCCAGAGACCACAGGAGGATCTGGTGCGCCAGTTTGCAAAGCGGACGCGACCGCAGACCCCCCTGACGGTTCAGATAAGAGACCACTGATGTGTTGTCTGTTCGTACAAGCACATGATGGCCCCTCAGGTCTGGGAGAAACTGTCTCAACGCATTGAAGACAGCCATCATCTCCAGGCAATTGATGTGCCACGAAAGATGATGATTTTTCCACAGACCCTGAACCGAGCGGCCTTCCATTACCGCTCCCCAGCCGGTGAGGGAAGCATCTGTCGAGATCGTAACACGATGGCAAAGAGCTCCCAATACCGGACCCTGGGTTAAGAACCAATGTTTCCTCCATATAATTAAGGCACGAAGGCACCGCCGCGTGACCTTGATCATACGAAGTGGGTTTCCCCTCGGGGAGAACCCTCTGGTCCTTAGCCACCACTGTAAAGGTCTCATGTACAGCAGGCCAAAAGGTATCACGTTGGACGCTGCCGCCAAGAGACCCAACAGTCACTCGAACTGTTTCACAGTGCGTGACTGGCCTAGCTTTAGCTCTTTGGTGGCTGTCAGGATAGCAGCTACACGAACGGGCGATAGAGTGGCCCGCATCGTCACTGAATCCCATACCACACCAAGGAAAGTGGTTCTCTGTACTGGAGAAAGAACACTCTTCTTGGCATTGAGCCTCAACCCCAACATCTGCATATGAGCGAGAACGACACCTCGGTGCCGAACCGCCAACTGCTCTGATTCCGCCAGAATCAGCCAGTCGTCGATGTAGTTCAGAATACGTATGCCCTGAAGCTTGAGAGGGGCTAGAGCTGCATCCACGCATTTCGTGAACGTGCGGGGTGATAAAGCTAGACCGAAAGGAAGAACCCGATATTGGTATTCTTTGCCCCCGAAAGAAAACCTTAGGAACTTCCTGTGCTGAGGGAGGATGGAGATATGGAAGTAGGCGTCCTTCAGATCTATCGTGACAAACCAGTCCTCGGATCTGATTTGAGTCACGATCTGTTTGAGTGTCAGCATCTTGAACTTGAGTTTCTGTACTGAACGATTCAACAGACGAAGATCTAAAATGGGACGCAACCCCCCATCCTTTTTTGGAACAATGAAATAACGGCTGTAAAAACCCGACTCTCTGTCGGGTGAGTACACCTGTTCTATAGCTTCCTTTGCTAACAGGGCCTTTACCTCTTGCTCCATTACCAGAGCCTGCTCGGGATGCACCACTGTGGGCAGCACCCCGTTGTAACGAGGAGGACGAGAACCAAACTGGATTCTGTATCCTTTCTCTACAATCTGCAGGACCCAACGAGAAATATTCGGCAGAAGCTTCCACGCTGCCAGAAAATTTACTAAGGGAACCAGCCTCTCGAGGCTGGTCTCTGGTGTTATCGAGACAGCCAATTCCGGAGCCTGAAACATAATGGCAGGAACTACCTGAACTGGCCGCTCTAAAGCCCCCCTCAGAGGGCGCGAAACCGATGCTGTGCCGCAGCATAGCATCAGCGACTCGCTGGAGACCGCTGCGCCCTGAAGCACAGAGGGTGGCAGGGTTGGCAGAACGGGCTCGTGAGGACCCCGAAATGGAACGGGCACCGTATGATGAGGTGTACACCGCTCTATTTCGGTCGGGGCTGTCCTCACAGGCCTGATGCATGAACATCAGGACCTTTTTTTTTTCTGAGCCGAAGTCTTCTTCGCCTGAAGAGCGGTCCTCAGATCCGGCTTCGACTTAGAAGACTTCGGCTGAGAGGGTTGCGTCTGTCTCCAGTTTCCACGTGGAGGTGCACGAGACGCAACACTCTCTTTCTGATGCACACGATATGATGAGCTAGATGGCTGGGGTTGCTCACGCCCAGCAGCCCCAGGGGGCTGGACACGGCGAGGGATAAACTTCTTGAAAGCGTCCGCTTGCTTTTTTGATTCCTGAAATCTCTCGACGACCGCATGGACTGCGTCACCAAAGAGACCAGAAGGTTCAAGCGGAGCATCTAACAAAAAAGCACGATCTTTTTCTTTAATCTCCGAAAGATTCAACCATAAATGTCTCTCAGTAGCTACCAAAGCTGCCATAGACCGCCCAATTGCTCTGGCGGTCTCTTTAGTAGCCCTGAGAGAAAGATCGGTAGCCCGACGAAGTTCTCGAATATCGTCATGACTAACTCCCTCACTATTATCCAGATCCCCCAGCAGGTCAGCTTGATAAGCCAGAAGCACTGCCATAGTATGCAGACATGCTCCAGCTTGACCTGCTGCCGTATAAGCTTTGCCCACTAACACCGACTTGGCTTTGAGCGGTCTAGTGGGCAAAGCCGAGGCTTTCAGAGACGATGCGGGACCAGGGGAAAGATAGCTAGCTAAATTCGGTTCCGCCTGGGGCATCGCCTCATAACCATACTCTTTCAGCCCTCTAATTTTTGAATAAATATTGACTTGAGGGCTGAAAAGACGTGAAGAGTATGGCTTATTCCATGATTTAGAAATCTCATTGTGAAGATCAGGAAAAAATGGAAGCCCTCGTGGTGGAGATGAAGCAGTAGAAGATAAAAAGCGCTTATCTAATTTACTCTTAGGACGAGCGCCCCTCTTATCAGATGGCCATTCAATCTTTAATTTATCTACAGCCCGCGACATAACATCCACCAGCTCATCATATGCTGGGGAAATAAATTGTGAATCTCTTTCCCCCATGTGTGTGCATTCACTCTCCAAACTCATCGCATCGACCTCCTCGGAGGGAGAGCAATGAAGTAATGGAGGGCTCTCTCCCCGGGCGGAAGAAACCGCAGAGCGTGCTTCCGACACCGGGGGGAGAGCGCTGGATCTCTCGGGTAAGGAAGGAGAAAGAGCCCTCGGACCCGTCTCCAACCCCTCCGAAAGATCCTTTTGCGATCCCCAGGAATGCATTCTCCGCGCTGCCTCAGCAGACGCGGGTCCTGATCCCTGCGGATCGCGAGCCTGCCCACTCTCTTTATCAAAGAGTGACAGGCGAGAGCGGAGCATGCGAAGCGGTAACATCTCACAATGCTGGCACTCAGCCCCCTCGAAGGCTGAGACCGCATGCTCCACTCCCAAACAAATGACACAAAGCTCGTGTGTGTCCCCACCCGTTAAATAACGCGGGCAGGGAGAAGCACACTGTTTGTACACTTGTTTAGTTTCCATCCTTTTCCGCAACAGACAACAGTAAATAGACAGAGACAAAATGACACAGATCGCTTGCTGAGACACAGAAGCTAATGCCGCGTTTCACCGGATGTGCTCTTATGCCTTCCTGGTCATGACGTCACCCGCCCGTGACGCTCATTCTTTCCATTGGACTAGTTGACATTGATGCTCAGACGCATTCACGCTGGGGGCGTTCCCAAAGCGTCAAGTGACGCATCGCGAGTTCCCTCGAAAGGGAACCCCAAATTTTCATAAGAATTCATATCTGTAAGCCATAATCATCAAAATTATAACACATAAAGGCGTGAAATATCTCACTTTGCATGTAATGAGTCTATATAATATATTAGTTTCACCTTTTAAGTTGAATTACTGAAATAAATTAAACATTTTCGAGTTTCACCTGTATATAGTAAACCAAACCATACGAGTGAAATCAACATAATGCATTATTTGATCAAGAATACTGTGGAAAATGTGAAATATTATTATGATTTAAAACAGCTGTTCTCTTTGTGAATATATAGTAAAGTGTAATTTATTCCTGTGATCAAAGCTTTAAATTGATTAAAATCAAGTGGAATTGATTACGAGTGGAATCAACATATGGCTGCATTTATTTGATCAAAAATACAGTAAAAATTAATATATGAAGATATGAGTTAGGGATACACCGATACGAAAATTTTGGTTGATACCGATACTTCTTTATATTTGAAAGCCGATAACCGATATATTGGCCGATAAATCTAAATCCAAATTTTGCCCGATACTGATAACTGATAATTCTTTAGATTTGAAAGCCGATAACCGATATATTGGCCGATAAATCTAAATCCACATTTTGGCCAATATCGATAACTGATAATTCTTTATATTTGAAAGCCGATAACCGATACATTGGCCGATAAATCTAAATCCACATTTTGGCCAATATCGATAACTGATAATTCTTTATATTTGAAAGCCGATAACCGATATATTGGCCGATAAATCTAAATCCACATTTTGGCCAATATCGATAACTGATAATTCTTTATATTTGAAAGCTGATAACCGATATGCTGGCCGATAAATCTAAATCCAAATTTTGGCCAATATCGATAACTGATAATTCTTTATATTTGAAAGCTGATAACCGATATATTGGCCGATAAATCTAAATCCAAATTTTGGCCAATATCGATAACTGATAATTCTTTATATTTAAAAGCTGATAACCGATATGCTGGCCGATAAATCTAAATCCAAATTTTGGCCAATATCGATAACTGATAATTCTTTATATTTGAAAGCTGATAACCGATATATTGGCCGATAAATCTAAATCCACATTTTGTCCAATATCGATAACTGATAATTCTTTATATTTGAAAGCTGATGACCGATATATTGGCCGATAAATCTAAATCCACATTTTGTCCAATATCGATAACTGATAATTCTTTATATTTGAAAGCTGATAACCGATATATTGGCCGATAAATCTAAATCCACATTTTGTCCAATATCGATAACTGATAATTCTTTATATTTGAAAGCTGATGACCGATATATTGGCCGATAAATCTAAATCCACATTTTGGCCAATATCGATAACTGATAATTCTTTATATTTGAAAGCTGATAACCGATATATTGGCCGATAAATCTAAATCCAAATTTTGGCCAATATCGATAACTGATAATTCTTTATATTTAAAAGCTGATAACCGATATGCTGGCCGATAAATCTAAATCCAAATTTTGGCCAATATCGATAACTGATAATTCTTTATATTTGAAAGCTGATAACCGATATATTGGCCGATAAATCTAAATCCACATTTTGTCCAATATCGATAACTGATAATTCTTTATATTTGAAAGCTGATGACCGATATATTGGCCGATAAATCTAAATCCACATTTTGTCTAATATCGATAACTGATAATTCTTTATATTTGAAAGCTGATGAGCGATATATTGGCCGATAAATCTAAATCCACATTTTGGCCAATATCGATAACTGATAATTCTTCATATTTGAAAGCTGATAACCGATATATTGGCCGATAAATCTAAATCCAAATTTTGGCCAATATCGATAACTGATAATTCTTTATATTTGAAAGCTGATGAGCGATATATTGGCCGATAAATCTAAATCCAAATTTTGGCCAATATCGATAACTGATAATTCTTTATATTTAAAAGCTGATAACCGATATGCTGGCCGATAAATCTAAATCCAAATTTTGGCCAATATCGATAACTGATAATTCTTTATATTTGAAAGCTGATGACCGATATATTGGCCGATAAATCTAAATCCACATTTTGTCCAATATCGATAACTGATAATTCTTTATATTTGAAAGCTGATGACCGATATATTGGCCGATAAATCTAAATCCACATTTTGGCCAATATCGATAACTGATAATTCTTTATATTTGAAAGCTGATAACCGATATATTGGCCGATAAATCTAAATCCAAATTTTGGCCAATATCGATAACTGATAATTCTTTATATTTAAAAGCTGATAACCGATATGCTGGCCGATAAATCTAAATCCGAATTTTGGCCAATATCGATAACTGATAATTCTTTATATTTAAAAGCTGATAACCGATATGCTGGCCGATAAATCTAAATCCAAATTTTGGCCAATATCGATAACTGATAATTCTTTATATTTGAAAGCTGATAACCGATATATTGGCCGATAAATCTAAATCCACATTTTGTCCAATATCGATAACTGATAATTCTTTATATTTGAAAGCTGATGACCGATATATTGGCCGATAAATCTAAATCCACATTTTGTCCAATATCGATAACTGATAATTCTTTATATTTGAAAGCTGATGACCGATATATTGGCCGATAAATCTAAATCCACATTTTGGCCAATATCGATAACTGATAATTCTTCATATTTGAAAGCTGATAACCGATATATTGGCCGATAAATCTAAATCCAAATTTTGCCCAATATCGATAACTGATAATTCTTTATGTTTGAAAGCTGATGACCGATATATTGGCCGATAAATCTAAATCCACATTTTGTCCAATATCGATAACTGATAATTCTTTATATTTGAAAGCTGATGACCGATATATTGGCCGATAAATCTAAATCCACATTTTGGCCAATATCGATAACTGATAATTCTTCATATTTGAAAGCTGATAACCGATATATTGGTCGATAAATCTAAATCCAAATTTTGCCCAATATCGATAACTGATAATTCTTTATATTTGAAAGCTGATAACCGATATATCTGCCGATAAACCGAAATCCAAATTTTTATATACTTTTTGCGATTCTGATTACAAAAACAAAAGTCTCACAATTAAAAGCCATAAGCACACAATTATAATGTTCTCATTATGATGTTATGTAGCCGATATGACACATGTTGCACTGAACTGTATTTTCCTTTTTTGAAGTGATTTAAATCATATTTCAAGCAATTCAAAACCATCATGTTAAACAGTGCGCATCTGAAGAGTCTCAGCTGAAGGACATAATACACTATTTATCAGCTTTAAAATCTCGGCCACATTTTCTTATCAGGCCGATAACGCTAACATTAAAAATTAACATATATCGGCCAATACCGATATAGTGACCGATATATCATGCATCCCTATATATTATCCTAACATTGTAATATCATCCTTATATTGTAATTATAATTGTATATAGTAAAATAATATCATATCGTGATCTCAGTATCGTGTATCGAATTGTGACATGAGGGTATACACCCCTAGAACACATATACATCAGTTAAAACTGTGTATATGTGACCCTGAACCACAAAACCAGTCACATGGGTCAATTTTTTTAAAATTGAGATTTACACATCATCTGAAAGCTGAATAAATTATAGTAAATTACTATGTTTCCATTGATGGGATTTGTTAGGACAGGACAATATTTAGCCGATCTGGAATCTGAGGGCGCAAATAAATCAAAACATTGAGAAATTCGCCTTTAAAGTTGTGCATTTATGTTCGTGTTTGTGCTGCATTCACTCAGAAAAATAAATGTTTGATATATTTACGGCAGGAAATTTACTAAATATCTTCATGATCTTTGCTTAATATCTAATGTTTTTTGGCATAAAAGAAAAATTGATAATTTTGACCCACACAGTGTATTGCCACAGATACACCCGTGCGACTCGGGTCACGTGTGAGTGTGTGTGGAGTGTTTCTGCAGCACCTCAGTCAGCGTTCGCTTCAGTTCTCCTTCGCATCTCTCCAGCTCGCGGCTCTTGCTGGCGTACGAGTCCTTCAGGCCGATCATGGTGTCCTCGCGCTCCTTCAGCTGGGCGTTGAGCTCCTTCATTTGACCCCTGAGGGCCACCATCTCTCCGGCCCGTTGCGTGACCTCGCTCTGACTCTCCCGAAGCTGCTGCTTCAACAGGGAGATCTCGCCCACTTTCTGACACAGCTGCTCAACACAAACCAAACACACACAAGTCAAGTCAGCTTCATTTATACAGCGCTTTAACAATATAGAGTTTCACAGCAGCTTTACAGTGATAACACGAGATTACAGTAACAGAGATTGTTTGGCTTTACAGCAGCTCTAGAATAAAGTTGTCCAGATAAAGTTAGTTTTGATTGAATCACTTCCGTCGCAAAGATCATTAGTTATTAACTTAGGCCCCGCTAACACGACACTGCTATACTGAAGACAGAAACTTTTAATGCGTCCTGGCCATTCATTTGCATGACAACAGTGTTTAGAGGCTCGAGAACACACACCAAACGCACATGGACAGATGCACTTTTATGATGGATAGATGCACTTTTATGATGGATAGATGCACTTTTATGATGATAGATGCACTTTTATGATGAACAGATGCACTTTTATGATGGACAGATGCGCATTTTTATCATGATAGATGTACTTTTATGATGGATAGATGCACTTTTATCATGGATAGATGCACTTTTATCATGATAGATGCACTTTTATGATGGATAGATGCACTTTTATGATGGATAGATGAACTTTTATGATGGACAGATGCACTTTTATGATGGATAGATGCACTTTAATGATGGATAGATGCACTTTTATCATGGATAAATGCACTTTTATGATGGATAGATGCACTTTTATGATGGATAGATGCACTTTTATGATGGATAGATGCACTTTTATCATGGATAGATGCACTTTTATCATGATAGATGCACTTTTATGATGGATAGATGCACTTTTATGATGGATAGATGCACTTTTATGATGGATAGATGCACTTTTATGATGGACAGATGCACTTTTATGATGGATAGATGCACTTTAATGATGGATAGATGCACTTTTATCATGGATAAATGCACTTTTATGATGGATAGATGCACTTTTATGATGGATAGATGCACTTTTATGATGGACAGATGCACTTTTATGATGGACAGATGCACTTTTATGATGGATAGATGCACTTTTATCATGATAGATGTACTTTTATGATGGATAGATGCACTTTAATGATGGATAGATGCACTTTTATGATGGATAGATGCACTTTTATCATGGATAAATGCACTTTTATGATGGATAGATGCACTTTTATGATGGATAGATGCACTTTTATGATGGATAGATGCACTTTTATCATGGATAGATGCACTTTTATCATGGATAGATGCACTTTTATGATGGATAGATGCACTTTTATGATGGATAGATGCACTTTTATGATGGATAGATGCACTTTTATGATGGATAGATGCACTTTTATGATGGACAGATGCACTTTTATGATGGATAGATGCACTTTTATGATGGATAGATGCACTTTTATGATGGATAGATGCACTTTTATGATGGACAGATGCACTTTTATGATGGATAGATGCACTTTAATGATGGATAGATGCACTTTTATCATGGATAAATGCACTTTTATGATGGATAGATGCACTTTTATGATGGATAGATGCACTTTTATGATGGATAGATGCACTTTTTATGATGGACAGATGCACTTTTATGATGGATGGATGCACTTTTATGATGAACAGATGCACTTTTATGATGGATAGATGCACTTTTATGATGGATAGATGCACTTTTATGATGGATAGATGCACTTTTATGATGGACAGATGTACTTTTATGATGGACAGATGCACTTTTATGATGGATAGATGCACTTTTATGATGGATAGATGCACTTTTTTTCATATACACCTAGGATGGCTTCATGGTGAGTAAATCATTGGCTAATTTTCATTTTTGTGTGAACTATCCCTTTAAATTCATGATTTTCCGCTCCTCTCACCTCCCACTTGGTCTCCTCGAGGCGGGGCAGAATATCCGCCTGCTCTTTCCGGTAATCCAGGCACTTTCTCTCCAGCTCCTCCCTGTGGGCGAGCAAGGCGCTGATCTCGTCCTGCAGGCGCAGCTGGTCCTGCTGGAGCCGCCCGATGTGGGCCTGCAGTGCATGCTGGGAGCGCTGGGCCCGATGGGTCACCTGATGGAGCCGCCCGGCGTAGTTCTGCCTCAGGTCCTCCATCTCGCGCTCACACACTCGCTGCTTCTCCTCGAACACCTGCGCGATGGCCGCCTCGCTCTGGTCCAGGTTACGCCGCATGTGGATCACCTGAGGAGGTCATGTGACTCATTCAGGTGTTATAGTAACTGATCACAGAATGTGTGTGTGTGTATGTGTGTGTATGTGTGTGTATGTGTGAGTGAGTAAGTGTGAGTGTGTGTGTGTGAGTGTGTGTGTGTGTGTGTGTGTGTGTGTGTGTGTGTGTGTGTGTGTGTGTGTGTGTGTGTGAGTGTGTGTGTGAGTGAGTGAGTGAGTGAGTGTGTGTGTGTGTGTGTGTGTGTGTGTGAGTGAGTGAGTGAGTGAGTGAGTGTGTGTGTGTGTGTGTGTGTGTAATGTAAACGTGACCCTCACCTCCTGCTCCTTCTCCCAGAGCCGGTCCTCCAGGTCCTGGATGATGTCATCGGTGGAGGGCGTGTCCTGGGCGGTCGTGTCGGTCACATGACAGAGTCTCTGATACGATAAGCAGCTCTTCCCGGAGCAGGACTGCCCGCTGTCGGACACGCTCAGCCCGTTCTGATAGTCGGGCCGGTCCGGTTTGTCCCGCGGCGCCGATGACGATGCGCTGCTCAGCCTGTTGATGTGGCTGGTGGAGGCGCTGAGGGGCCCGAGGGCCGGAGCCGGGCCGAAGCTCAGACTGGGACCGGTGTATGTGGGAAGGCTGGTCAGAGAGTCGGACATGCCGGCCGGGCCGTCGGTGCCGTGGGAAGGGTCCCGGTCCCGGTCTGGGCTGTCCGGCTCGCACAGGGACTGAGGGGCGTCGGATCGACCGGATCCTCCAGACTGGCCCAGCAGGTTCTGCATCGAGTGGAAGCTCTTCGGGACGACGGGTTTGAAGGCGGAGGGTCGGACCAGAGCAGAACTATTCTGGAGGAGACAAACACACACAGCATTAAAGTCAAGTCAAGTCAAGTCATCTTCATTTATATAGCATTTTTAACAATGTAGATTGTTTCAAAGCAGCTTTACAGAGATAAACATACAATTACGGTAACAGAGATTGTTTTGGCTTTATAGCGATTTTTGAATAATGTTATTTCCAGCTAAAGTTAGTTTTGATTGATTCACTCAGCAAAATGATCATTTGTTATTACATTAGGGGCCACTAAGACGACGGCGTTCTCTCTAAACAGACTTTAAACGCGAACCTGTGACCTGATTGCGTTCACATGCGCATTAAAAATTGATTCTATAGTTATATTCGTTTGAATATGTGTGCGCAGGTTTGTAATTTCCCTACAAACCATGCCTAAACAAACTACTTGTCTTGCCTATACATTAGATAAATAATTTTGCTTTATTTTATCACTTCGGGTACGCGAACCGGATTTTCAACAACGCTTTATCTGTAGAGTGGGAAAGGGATCCTCCATAGGGAGAGGATAGTGGATACTTCAGCACTGCATTGTCATCGGGTCCAGGCAAAGCTCCCTCGTCAGATCTGGATACGGCCCGGATCCGGCAGGCTGCGGGAAAACCTCGGGATAAACAAAGACACTAAAGTTAGCGTAGATGCCATTCTTCTTATGATGTAGCGAGTACATCTGGATTTAAGGGAAGTGTTCCCAGTTCCGGCTGACCTAATCTATGCAGCCTAACATTGAATTTATAGAAGTCGATAATGTATTATGTTTATGCTAGGTCAAAGAGATGTGTTTTTAGTCTAGCTTTGAACTGACAGAGTGTGTCTGCTTCCCGGACAATGGTAGGAAGACTGTTCCAGAGTTTTGGTGCTAAATAGGAAAAGGATCTCCCGCCAGCAGTCGATTTTGATATTCTAGGTATTATCAACTGGCCGGAATTTTGAGATCGCAATAGACGTGAAGGACTATAATGCGTTAAGAGCTCGCTCAAGCACTGCGGAGCTAAACCATTTAGTGCTTTGTAGGTAATCAACAATACTTTAAAATTTATACGATGTTTAATAGGCAGCCAATGCAGTGTTGACAGAACCGGGCTAATATGGTCATACTTCCTGGTTCTGGTAAGAACTCGAGCTGCTGCGTTTTGAACCAGCTGTAGTTTGTTTATTAAGCATGCAGGGCAACCACCCAGTAGAGCATTACAATAATCTAGCCTTGAGGTCATGAACGCATGAACTAATTGTTCTGCATTTGTTAATGAGAGCATATGGCGTAATTTAGATATGTTTTTAAGATGGAAAAATGCGGTTTTACAGATACTAGACACGTGACTTTCAAATGAGAGATTGGTATCAAATAGCACACACACACACACACACACACACACACACACACACACACACACACACACACACACACACCCAGGTTCCTAACCGACGACGAAGACTTAACAGAGCAGCCATCAAGTGTTAGACAGTATTCTAGGTTATTACGTGTGGAAGTTTTTTGTCCAATAATTAGAATCTCTGTTTTTTCAGTATTTAGTAGTAGGAAATTACTGGTCATCCAATTTTTTATATCAGCTATGCATTCCGTTAAATTTGTGTTAATTAAAGGGAAAGTTAACCCAAAAATGAAAACTATGATGGACAGATGCACTTTTATGATGGATAGATGCACTTTTATGATGGACAGATGCACTTTTATGATGGATAGATGCACTTTTATGATGGATAGATGCACTTTTATGATGGACAGATGCACTTTTATGATGGATAGATGCACTTTTATGATGGACAGATGCACTTTTATGATGGACAGATGCACTTTTATGATGGACAGATGCACTTTTATGATGGACAGATGCACTTTTATGATGGACAGATGCACTTTTATGATGGATATATGCACTTTAATGATGGACAGATGCACTTTTATGATGGACAGATGCACTTTTATGATGGACAGATGCACTTTTATGATGGACAGATGCACTTTTATGATGGATAGATGCACTTTTATGATGGACAGAGGCACTTTTATGATGGACAGATGCACTTTTATGATGGACAGATGCACTTTTATGATGGATAGATGCACTTTTATGATGGACAGATGCAC